GGGAACAGACAAGTTGCTGTCCTTTTGTTCTTCAGTCTAGTTGTGGAGGACGTCGCTTCACTGGCCCATGTTGGTATTATCATTGCGCTCTTCCAAGGACAGGCAGTTGCTCACTGGCCACTCAAAGCGGCTCATAGCAGCTCATGAAAGCTCATGCCTGCTGCTGGCGAGCCCTGCTGCAGTTTACGCCGTTGCCAGTGACTCACAGCAGGCAGCTCCAGGTCGAGCTGTTGTTCACCATCTTAGCTGTAGGGGGCGCAGCGTCACTGGTCCTCATGTGGGATCTGAACCGGGGCCCTGCTGCTCAGAGCTGGCGTCGCAAGCCAATTCCTAACCAACGCTCCCCTCAGCCAGCCCCATTTCATCATTTTTAAGCACAGTATTTTCATTTTTTTGGCTGTCCATAGTTTCTTGATAAATCCCTTCTTGTAGAATATTTACTTTTATAATTTTTCCTTGTGAAGTATGCCACAGTGGGCATAGTTGTAGCTAAATCTAAAACTTTGTACATATCTTCAGTTAGTTCCTTAGTATCGGTCTTTAGAAATAGAACTGCTGCAGTTTTTAGAAATGGAATGCACATTATAGAGACTGTTGATTTTTGAAGGCATCTCGGGTTTTAAAGGTCATTTGGAAAGAAGGAAAATGTATGGATGTTTGATCTCAAATTTGGGTATAAAAAACTTGCTATGATTTCATCTCTTGGGTATTTCTAGGAATGTGCACTGCCAACCGTGTCAGGGAGACACCAAGATCTGAAGTACATCAACCCAGAAACAGTAAGCAGATTTCTGGAGATGGTAGCTGGTTACATAAGCTGCCATCTGGTCTGTTCTGTCCCGAAAATCCCCATTTCCATTTGTGTTTCTTTCACTGTGTTCACTAACATAGGCTCTTTATTCAACTGAAGCTGTATTAAAGGACTCCTTGTATCCCCTTCTGTCGCCTTCATTTTTAATTAAACAAATAATATATGATTGTTATGAAAGAAAGAAAAGACAGAAAAAAGAAAAGGGAGAAAGAAAGTAGGCAAGGAAGGAAAGGAAGTAAAAGAAAAGAAAAGAAAAGGCAAAAACCCCAAAAGGAAACAAGTAGACATCACTCAATTTGTGTGACCTTCCATCCTGGTTTACATGTTATAATTTCATTTATGCCTGTTAGTGCAGGGTAATTATTAAAGTGTTCTCTTTCACTCTGAAAAGTGTCCCAGTTTGTGCAGTAATTATTTGGCCACCCATAATCTTGCCACCAGAGAGAACCACTAGTAATATTTTCCTTATGGCCTTCCCGATTTTATTCTGGCATGTGTTTTATAAAAACAGGATTAGAAAGAACATGCAACGTTAGCTTAGTAAGACATTATAAACATCTTTCTCTATCAATAAAAATATATCTCTTTTATTCTTTTAATGGCTATATAATATTCTGTTAAATTGACATGCAATTTATTTAACCAAACCCCTATTATTGAATATTTAAGTTATTTGTAATATTTTGATAGCCTAAAACAATGCTGAGATGACTATTATCATGCCACGTATTTGTTTCCTTTTCTGTTTACTTAAGATGTTAGAAAAGAAAGTGCTGCTGAGTCAAAGTGTAATTACATTTATTTTTATATGTATTTTCAAAGCTCCCTCCGGAAAGTTTGAATCAATTTATAGTCCTACAAGTAGCTTAAGTTTCCTCTTCTGGGTATCAAACTTTTTCTTCCATATTCTTTTCTAAAAGACTTGCTTTCTTCTTTTACATTGGAGAGTGGGGAACCATTTCCCATCTCTTCTTACAAAATCGGGGTCTCTACTACCTGTGCCGGTGCAGAAGTCCTTGCATGTCTTTGAGAGACTGATCTCAGCCATGCCTGCCTCTAGATGAGTAGCTTCACTATGGTTTTCCTTGGTATCCTGGCAATACCAGCTATTCTGGTTCTCCATAAAAGCCACTTCCTATTTCACCCTCTTATGTGGTATAAGGCTGAACCATTGCCACATTTCAAATATAGGGGAACTTTGGAGGCTGGGCATGCAGTGGAAATCCTAGGTGACTAAAGGGAGTGCAAATCAGAAACTATGTAACTGGTTCTTCTTTCCCTCAGAGTCACAGTGAACAGGGTATTCAATCATAGTTTCTGTGCAGGTGGCTGCCTTACTGTCGGGGAAATTCCAGGGTCTGATTGAGAAGTTTTATATCATCGATTGCCGCTTTCCATATGAGTATCTGGGAGGACACATCCAGGTGAAGTTACATTGGGGACATTATCAGGGGAGGGACTGGTGATAGCTCTTTATTAAAAGAAGAGTTCATGGGCAAAGGGTCCTGTGAACTCTGGAACCAGGGCAGACATACATTTGGGGCACATCAAAGCTGTAAGTCCTCATTCCTATTCTAATTCTGTATACCTTGAGCAATTTGCTTTCCCTTTCCCTTCTAGACCAATCTCTCTCTTTTCTGTAGGAGCCCAGGGCTCTTACATGGAAATGAAAACATTAATCCAAGGACTGAGGCGCCCTTTGTAAGACTTTACTGCTCACAGACATTCCTCACAGTCATCCCTCCACATTAGGCAAATCAGTTCTATGAGCATTTGTTGAGCAACTACTACATACCAAACTCTATGCCAGGCCCTGGGGGTAGATACAGAGATATAATTAGGTCTCTTCTCTGAAAGTGCTTATAGTCTAACCTGCCCAGCCCAAACATCCCAAAGTGATACCCCAATTATGTCTAAATGTTGACTCTATCCACAGGGCCTTGAGAAAATACTTACTAAAATTCTTCTACAGGGAGCCTTAAACTTGTACAGTCAGGACGAACTGTATAACTTCTTTCTGAAGATGCCTATTGTCCCTTTGGATACCCAGAAAAGAGTTATCATCGTGTTCCACTGTGAATTCTCCTCAGAGAGAGGTCCCCGAATGTGAGTGTCTACCCAGGGTAAGGTGGGTGATAGAAATTGATGTTGAGTTGGGACTTATAGCCAGGGAACCTTCCCAAACCAGTTTAGACAGAGAATGAAGGAATGAATGCATTCATGCTCTTCACTGCAGTTTAGAGAATGTTAGGGAGGTGAAAGAAAGGGGTTTCTACAATTCAAAAGTTTGGAGCAGTGAAGGAAAAAGTATTGGGAATTAGGCACCAGTGGAGGAAAGGGGGAAGAGTGGTGCTACTTAGATCTTGTTTTGCAAAAAGAATGAGCTCTGGAGGTCCTCATTGGGGTCTATTCTTTCTCCCACTCCCCAGTGAATGGCCCATGGCATCCTGACCTTGCTTCTTTTCACCTATCTCTGCATTGTCTCTGAAGGTGTCGCTGTCTGAGAGAACAAGACAGGGCCCTGAACCAGTATCCTGCATTGTACTATCCAGAGCTGTATATCCTCAAAGGGGGCTACCAAGACTTCTTTCCAGAATATACGGTAAAGGATGGGGCATATGGAACAACTGGGAAGCCCAGATTTAGGGGAGCCAACTTTAGCATGCAACTCCTAGGGCCTGCAAAGCCCTCCGAGAAGAAACTGCTGCTCCTCCTTAGCCACTCCCAGCAGCCTCTCTATTTTTAGGCAGAATTCAGGAGCCTAGAGCACCCCTTATTCTGTCCCTGACCTTTCAGGAGCTATGCGAACCACAGAGCTACTGCCCTATGCATCACCAGGACCATAAGGCTGAGCTGCTGAGATGTCGAAGCCAGAGCAAAGCAGTGGAAGGGGAGCGGCAGCTGCAGAAGCAGATTGCCTTGCTGGTAAAGGACGTGAGCCCATGATAACAGACCAGCTGCTGGCTGCCTAGGAGTCACCGAAAGATACTGTAGAAACCCTGGACAGAAAGAGGCCATCTTCCAATGTGGCTAAACTCAAGACTGTTAAAAGATGTCTGCAAACCAACAGGCTGCCAAACTGATGAAATCTTAGGCCTGAGGATTGGTTAGGTTTCAGTAGAGCGGCTGGCTGGTGGTGAGTCCTGGAGCTGGCTCTCTAAGGCAGTAGCCTTGGCTTTACTGAGATGTGTGTTGCTGCAGGGAGCATTTGCATTCTCTCCCTAACTACTTGTGTCTTCTCACAAGCCAGCCAGCTTCTGTCCCTGGGCTTCTGGCTGTGCAAGAGAGTTGCCCAACTTCTTTCTCTGTGCTTCCCTTCTTTGCCTACCCTCCCTCGCCTTTTTTTAAATGGGAAAATAAACATTGTAGAATGAGAGATGTAGAATGATAGCCTAGTCTGCTCCTGGAAGATTTATATAAAGAAGTAGAGATCACCAAATTAGACACCTTCAGACATAAGGGTATAACCGTCTCTAATTCAGAACTGAAATGAAGGTACTTTTCTCAAGATCAGTGGTTCTCAAAGTTTAGACCCTGGACCATCAGTATTGGCTGAACTTGATTCAAATACAAATTTTCAGGCCCCAACCCAGACTTACTCTATCAAAACCTGTCAGAGCCCCAATATCTGGGTTTAAAAAATCTCCCTTGTAGGTCATTCTGGTGCACAGTAAGGCTTGAGATCCACTCCTCTGGAATTAAGAAAAACCTTTCATACTGCATTCTTCAGCAGTAGTCCAGGTGTCCCTTTCCTAGACCACTCCATGCTATGAGTTATGTAAAAATAACTCATACACCCAGACTCAGCACTCTGGTATCTAGGCTCAGAAAACCAGACCAGCGGCATTTTCTAAGGCAGGATAGGTCTGAGTTTGGCTTAAAGATTCCTTATCTACAGGCTCAATGGAGTTTTGACTTTTCCCATTTTCCAAACTTTTCTCTACTCCATTGCCCATCTTACAAAGACAAGTTGAGGATTTAGGGTGGTTGGAAGTAGAGATTTGTGTTATATAAAGATACAATAGGAATAAAAGAAAATAAAAGTGCCAAGCAAGGTCAGTTAGACTTAAGGAAGACCCTTCAAACAGCATTCTTTAACAATATCCCAGGCTTTCCTTTCTTCGAGTTCTTTAAGGCAAGTACGGTAGGCTTTTGTCTGCTTAATGAGGTACGGTCCTTTTTGGCCTGGTGTGGCAGTGGAATTGACTATAAACATTGTCACTCTCTGGCATTAAACTAGTAGTAGTGTTAGCCCAGGACTAGGCTTTGAAGCCTAGGATGAGGTAGAATAGATACCAAAAAACCACATCTTCCCAGGTTCTGGAGCAGGGAGACTTTAAAAGTCAGTGGGTGGGAAGGAGGGGCAGTAAGTAGCTGGGCTGATTTTTGCCAGGTTCCCCAGTGCTCTTCTCCTGGAGTGCCATGTGCATGCCTCACAGCAGAGGGCACTGCTGTATTCTCTAAGTCAAATTGCTGGAGCCTGCTGCCTCCACCCCTAGCACTCGCCTGTCTGTCCGGAGGGAAGATACCTCTCCCACCTTCTCCCTGAGCCCTTGAGTTCAGAGTTCAGAAGGGCTTGGGGGGGGAGGGCAGGGAGGAGAGAAAAGCTGCTGCTACATTAGGTGGGGATGGCTGAGGGGGAAAGATGCTGCCCCTTTTTTCCACCCCACACACTTATCCCCACCAAGCAGGAGCTCCTAGAAGTACCTCCAAGTGTGAGGAGGGCTCCCTAACTCACTGCCTACCCTTGAGAGTCATTTCCTGATAATTCTCCACAGAAAGGTAGAACCAAGCCCCCACCTGGGAAGAGACTGGTAAACATGTGTTCACATTTTAGTAATAAGTGAAAAACAAAAAACAGGCTTAGTTGTCTACTTTGTAAGAAATTATATTTGCCTAAAAGGCAACATTTTCCTATATAATTTCTTATATCCTCCCATTGTATGGATACCATGTGACTTGATTCATGTTATTTTCAGGAATAATAATAATAGTATCTAACACTTTTCAGGTACCTATTGCATGCAAGACTTTATGAACTCGTGTATACATACAAACTAATTTAATTTTCACAACAATCCTGTGAGGCAGGTACTGATTATTATGCACGTTTTACAGATAAAGAAATTAACTTACTTTAAGATCATGCAACTAGTGAGTGTGGAGTTGGGATTTACACACAGGCAATATGGCTCCAGAGTGTCTACACTTCATGGATTTTGCTGTTACTAAATTCTCATCAAAGAACAATGTGCCTTTCTAGAGCTGGCATTGTATCGGGTGTTGCACATGTAAGCTTCATTTACAGGTTCTTGAGAAGTCAGGGCCATAGGGTTGTTTGGGCTTGGGAGATGAGGCTAAGAGCAGACAGTAAGACCCCTGCCTGTACACCTCAGCACAAGGCTAGTTAGGGGGTTCTGCACTGGTGTCCTTGCACAACTAGTATTCGTTCATTATGAAGTCAAGTAATAAAGTGTGGAAACTTTGGGGCTTAAAAACTGCTTCTGTTCATCAGCCGAGGACCTGGCTGACCTCTCCCATAAAGAAGGGAAGAGCATTGGCCTTTCATTCCCAGGAGCATGAAGTGGGAAGCATGGAGGATTCTCTTTCCCCATTCAGTTCAGGCAAGTGTTAAGGAAACACCAATTCCTGTAAACATATATATCTGGTGTTGTCAATGCTAAGTACCACAGATATTCAAATAGGACACATCCCTGCCCTCAAGATACTGAAGAGGTAGAAAATGATTCTTTGTTCCAATCCCTGGCCCACTAGCATATTCAGCGAAAGGAAGAACTGTAGCCTCCAGCTCCAAAGCAGCAGTTGGGTAGTGGGGGATGGCCAAGTTCACAGAATAATTAACTCCTGTGTGCCACTTGGGATGATATCACTTTATTCAGTGCTTGCTATGTGTCAGGCACTGTGCTAAACCCTTTATTCAATATATACTTGTTTAATCCTCATTACTGTTATATGCAGTAGATACTGTTATCATTAATTTTGCAGATAGAGAAACTGAAACATAGAAAAATCAAGTGACATGCTCAGGTCACCCAGCACGTGTTGGAAATGGCATTTGAACCCAGGCAGTCTGTAAAGCTTGTGCTCTTAACTATTATTCACTGTATTGCTAATATACTGGGTTAGGGTAGCAGCAGGAAGTAAAGTTTAACTGAAAGAAGATTGGATAGAAAGCCGAGAACTAAAATTACAAGTGAAAGTGGATAGAATACAGGGTCTTTGGACCTTGGAGCCCCGATCAGTGGATTGCAATGCCTGCCCTGGCAGGGTTTGTGTCTTAAGCATTTTTGTACCTGGCACAAAGCTGGACCCGTATCAGCCTCAAAAGACATTATTGAATTGAAATGATGGCTGAATAACATCATCTTTGTAGAAAGGACTGGCTTATTTGTCATTATCCACAAGGTTCCCAACGGCAATGCTGCTTATCTAGCAGGTGTTGGCAGTCATAGGGAACATGGTTGGTGGGGAGAGGGTGTGCTGGAAGAGCTGTCAATATTAGTCTTGGAGTCATATTTATTTGCAGAGGCTTCCTCAACCCTCCCCTATCTGTGGCAACCAGTCCTCATTAGAGGCCCGATGATGTCAGGCTCTCTACCCCAGTGCCCCAAAATATGCTTCAGGCATCTCATTTACTCTCTCAGAAAGGTTGACCTCTTCCAGGTGGAATTGGGCATTGCTCTCAGCCCTTCTGTTTGACCTTGTTCCATTCCTGGTCCATTCTTTCCATGGGGATAGCATTGAGTAGACTTTGAGTAGGCACCCTGAGCAAATGCCTTTTCCCAACTTCCCCTCCTACCCCAGACTTGATTCGGCTTTGTTGCTGACGGAGAGGAGAGCAGAGGTGACACCCTTTGACCATACCACATCTTTGTCGACTTGTAGGTCTCAGCCCTTTCCCAAAACTCCATTTTGAAACTATTGCCAGAGTGGAGTGGGAAATGGGGGCTATCAGCTCCCCAGCTACAGGCTTTCTAACCTTACTGGAGGGGAGGGCTTGCGAAAGGTACATTAAAAGTAGGGTAGAGCTTGGGGAACACAGGCCCTGTGCAAAAGCTGTGTAGCCAGATATTCACTTTCACAGTTCTGTAAGACTAGCAGGGAAGATATAGATTAAAATGAAGCAGAAACTCCATTTAAAGTGCATTACAGCTCAGGCACCAGCTCCCCTTGGGCAGGGGAAGGGAGGAAAGGGCACAGGAGGCCACCTCAGTCTCCTTCCTTATCTAGGCCCGCATGTCTCTCTCCTAGCTTTGTGAAGGGTGATTTACACCCCTGGCTGGAATGACTCTCTTTCTGGGCTGATTACATCTGCAAATGCCCCCCAGAGGCCACAGCAGGATGGCCATATTCAGAAGCAGCAGCCAATAAATCTCAGAGGCTTATATTGCGCTTCTCAATACCCTCCCTCCTGGCCCTCCGCCAGGTTGGCTGTGGCAGCAAGGAGAGGGCTTGGTTGGAGAGTTAGGGGATGAAACACTCTACTTCCTTTCATCACCTTCTTTTGCTCTTTCTAAACACTGCTTAGTTCTCATTCAAGTCCTTCTGCCTCTATTTTTACCCTGGGAGCAGGTGGGAATCAGCCCAGGGCCCAGTAAATACTCTTGTGGTTATGGATAGAAACCCTGGGCTCTGGGCACATTGGTGTTTCTACCTAGCTGTTTAAAATGAAGAGGCTCCTAAATGGTCCCTCCCATCACCCTCCTAAGTGATCTTTCCTTCCAGGGAAATCTCTACTGTTTGGTCTGTTTAGTCTGGGGGTCGGTGGGCTAATCCCTCCATTCGCCCTCATGACACTGAAGAGGCTGAATGTTGTTGGAGGCTAGTCTGGCAAAGGTCCTGGGATCGGGCCCCAGGTCTGCTCCCAGCAACGCCATTTCATCTGTCTGGGACCATCTTTACAAAATCTTGGGGTGAAAGACAATGAATGACTCTTACCCTTTAAGATACTTATGAGAGGAAAATGAAATCATAGATGTGCAAATCCTAAGAAAAAAATACACTAGAAATGCCCTTGTGTTGGTTTATTCAAGTTTTGTCGCAAGATTTCATTTGTGGTGGTAGTGCCGTGGGGCTGTGAGAAAGGGTGCTTTTTTGGATAGATATTTGGACGCCCCAGATGACGAGTGTCCAGCGGCAGCTTCCCCAATGCCTCGGGCAGAATTCTTCCTCCAAGTGGCGTGGGCAGCAGACGGCAGGTGGGCGGACCTGGGAGAGCACCGTCTTCCGCGCCGCTCCCAGGGCACTTGCCCTCCCTCACCCCCACCCCCGCAGTTTTCTCAGTCCAGTAGAAGCCGCGCAGTGTGGTCGTCCGCTTGGAGTTGGAGGGCGGCGCCCGGGACCCTGGTGGGAGAGTGTTGGCGCCGCACTTGCGAGGAGGAGCGGGAGGCGGCGGTGGGAGGCGCCCCCGGCACGCAGAGCTCCAGTGCGAGGAGCGAGGGGAGCCCGGCACCCCACGCAGGCAAAGCGCCCCGAGGATGGACAGCAGCGTGCGCCCCCTCGCCATGGCGCGCCGCTGGAACCAGCGACCTCCGCCGCCTGTACTTCTGCTGCTGTTGCTACTGCTGCTGCCGCCGCCGCTGCCGCTACTGCTGGAAGCCGGTGAGTGTCGTCTGTGCGTACACGCAGCCCCACACGGCCAGGGTGTTAGGGGGAGGGAAGGGAATCCTGTAGGCGGGCCCCTGGTCACCTATACCCAGAGGGCTCCGACACTGCACTGCCACCTGGTCCCAGGCATCTGTCCCTCCGAGCCTGGGGAACTAGAGGAGGGAGCCCGGGATACAGGAAGAAGTGGGTTGCATGCCTAATAGCGTCTAAACTGTTGTAGATGAACTGCCAGCAGGGGCCAGGGCACCCCAGCATCTCCTTGCTCCAGGTTCTCCTTCTTACCCACTTTTGAGGTGCGTCTGCGCTGTCACAGAACAACCAACAGCCAGGCTCCTTCCAGGACAGCATCTCTGGAGGTGGGGAGAATCAGAAGCAGGATCCCAGTTGTTCTGTGTGGGCTTCATCTCTTCTACCCCCTATAAGGACTAGGAAGTGGACGCTAGGTACAGATAAAGAAAAAGTAGTTTTTGTTAGAACTGACTTGTCAAAATTAGGGTTGTAAACTACTGCCAGCACATGCTAACATCATTGTTTGGTGGTATTGCTGAGAATATTACTCACCACCAACCTACTCCCTTCAGGATATACTTTTTGTTACTATTTTAATTAGAGGAGAAAATTCACTAATGGGCAAGATGGCCTTCCCCTGAAAGATGACCGGCACAGTGCCTTGCCCCATTATAGATACACAATAGGTGTTTCATGGAATATGTAGTTCAAGGTCTGGTTTTAGAACCATGTCATTCTGCCCAAGGAAGGGCCGCCTGGGATCCATGATCCCAGGGCATGTGCTCATGGCTTTTGGGAGGAGGACGGGTGTATGGAGTGCCATTGTGGGGCGCCTGCCCAGGGCCTGAGTGGAGGGAAGCCTGAGGCAGAGACCACATGTCCTCAGTGACCTCAATCCAAACTGGAGGAATGTAATGTTGGCTGCAAGACAGATATGGAAGGAAGGAGGGAAAGGACTAGCCTGTACAGAATAACTCCATCAGTAAATCAGGGCAGCGAGACATCACTGATGTGATTTGATGGCCCAGGAAGTTTCACTAACGCTAGCGGTATGGCTGCATGTCAGGATCAGGGGTCAACATTAAATAATCCTCATTAACCAGTTAAGTGGAACAAGTCCCATCGTGTTATGATGAAATTTAACATGCCCCCCCATCATCTTTTGACCTGCAATGCCCCTAAATCTACTGCTGCTCAGAGCTGGTGAACTATCAGCTAAGAAATTAGGTTTACTTTTGAAAATTGTTACAACTCAATATTTAGTCCCTTTAAAGCAATGAGACTTGGACCTGCTACATTTCTTTCAGCAGGCACTTATTGGGTACCTACCAGAAGTAGCATCTTAAACATTTAGTATTTCTCAAACTGTTTAAATTCATGTCCCCTTTTTGGTAAAGATGAAAATCTTGGGCCTTCCTCAGATATTTTTTTTGAAACTTCAAAAGCTGTTTTTTTCATCTTCTACATATGAAATGATCAAATATGCTTTTTTGAACCATACATTCCCTTTGAAAATTCTGATATACCCCTAAAAGGGGCCCAACCTTTCTCTTCTCCATCCTCTCCACTGAGAAATTTTGGTTTAATCGAATCCCCTCATCTTACATTTGAGAAACCAAGGTCCAGAAAGTGAAGGAAATTGTCCTAGGCAGGGCTGGGACTAAGGTGAGGTGAGTGAAGGGGGTGCCAAGAAACTCAATAGTCAAGATAAGGAATATTTTAATGCAATATTTTTAAAAACTGAAATTAATGCCAAAAAAATCCATGATGAACAGAATATCAAAATTTTAAACAGAAAGAGTAACAGTGTGCTGATGAGGCATATTGGAGCCTGAAGCAAAAGGAAAAACCAGTACTACTGAGACTCTCTTTATTTGTGCATTGGATATGGCACCAATTCTCAAACTACTCTCCAGTGGACTTGCTAAAATTCAGATTCCCAAGCTTTCTCATCAGAGATTCTGATTCAGTGATTCTAGGATGGGGCCCAGAAATCTTCATTTTACTATGTAATCTAATTGATTATCATGTGATTGGAAGAGGAGGTTAGACTAAACTCTGAGGTCCCTCCTAATTTTGGGACTCTGATTGTAAGTAGAGGAAAAGGGCCCAGAGAAGTTACAGAGGTGGATCACAGAATGTCTCTGTTATCTGGTTATTTCTCAAATAGTAGGAGCTCACAAAGAACAAGCAGTGTTCTGGGCACTGACAACAGAGTGATGAGATAGACCTGGAAGTTAAACAGGGAGATAATTGGGGGAAAAAATCAATTAAAAAATAAATCAAGTAGAGGGCCAGTCAAATGGCTCAGGTGGTTAAGAGCTCACTCAATAGTGCGAGCTCTGAGCAACAGGGTTGCGGGTTCGATTCCCAGCCCGAGCTGAGCTGCCAACAGGTGGCAGGATAGCTCAGCTAAAAAAAAAAAAGAATCAAGTGGTAATAAGTGCTATACAGAGACTTGGAGTAATAATGTGTTAGTAGCTAAAAGGTTATTTTATTGGGTTGTCGGAAAAGTCATGACGTATTTTTTCTATGTTTTTCGTTGCAAAAATGTGTCATGACTTTTCCGACAACCCAATACATTGGTGGGTTGGGGATGTCCTTTCTGAGATGTCATTTAAGCTGCAAACTGAATTACCAAAAGGGGACAGCTGGAGAGCCATGTGAAGATCACGGGGAAGAGTATTCCAAGCAGAAAGAAGGGCTAGGGCAAAAATCCTAAGGTGGACACAAGCTTGTCTTGTGCAAGTGGCAACCACAGAAACCAGTGTGGATGGAGGGAAGTGGGAGAGGAAGAGAGGGCTAGGAGGCGAGGTTAGAAAAGTGGACCAGGACCAGGTCTCACAAGTCTTTGTAAACCAAGGTATATAAACTAGATCTTAACCTAGGTGCAGTGGAAGCTGTTGGAGGGCTTTAAGCAAAGAAATGAGCTGATCCCATGTAATGCCAATCAGCATTAGAATCGTTACATTCACACAGTGTAATGCTATACAGCAACAAAATAAGCTATTTATAACTATACTTAACTGTGTGGGTGAATTTCATAAACATAATATTGAGCTAAAGAAGCCCAGACACCAAAAGCACATGTATGATTGAAAAACAGGAAAAATTAATCTCTAATGTTAGAAATAAAGATACTGCTTTCCTTGAGGGGATGGTGACTGGCAGAGGGTTCTGGGGTGATGGTCCTTTATTTGGGGTCCGGTTAATACCTGGTTAAATGAAAAGGTATTTCATTTGAAATTCATTGAACTGTACATTTTTTATTTGTGCACTCTTCTGTATGTGATACTTCAATGAAAAAAATGTATTACCAAACATACAAGTAACTAATAAGCACATGAAAATATGCTCAACATCATTAGTTATTGGGGAAATGCAAATGAAAACCACAATGTGATACCACTTCACACCCATTAGGATGGCTATTAAAAAAAGAAAAAAGGAAAATAACAAGAGTTGGCAAGTATATGGAGAAATCACAACCCTTGTACATTACTAGTGGGAATGTAAAATGGTGCAACCACTATGGAAAACAAGTTGGCGGTTTCTCAAAAAGTTAAACATTGAGGGCCGGCCGAGTGGTGCGATGGTTGGGAACTGGCTTGGGACCCCGGAGGGCCCCAGTTCGGATCCCACATATGAGCGCCAGTGACACTGCCCTCCACAGCTAAGATGCTGAACAACACCTCAACCTGGAGCTAGGCAGCTGTGAGTCACCAGCAACGGCAGAGGTTGCAGACCCTGTGGCAGTGGGTTGCCATGGGCTACCGTGTATAGCCAGCAGCCAGTGTGAGCGGCCAGCAGCCGCAGTGAGGGGCTGTCCAGAAGCCGGCGACTGATCTGCCTCGCCCGGGAAGAGCGCAATGATGGTGCCAACTTGGGCCAGTGAAGCAATGTTCTCCACAACTAGACTGAAGAACAAAAACGACAGCAACTTGTCTGTTCCCCTTCCCCCAATTCCCCAGCACTGTTCCCATCCCCCCCAATTCCCCAATAAAAATCTTAAAAAAAAAAAGTTAAACATTGAATTACCATATGCCCCAGCAATCCACTCCTAGGTATACACCCAAAGAATTGAATACAAATATTGAAGCAAATATTTGTACATGAATGTTCATGGCAACACTGTTCACAATAACCAAAATGAAACAACCCAAATGTCCATCAGCTGAGGTGTGGATAAACAAAATGTGATATATTCATACAGTGAAATATTATTCATCCATTAAAAAAGAATGAAATCCTAATACATGCTACAATGTGTATGAACCTCAAAAACAGTATGTTAGATGAAAGAAGCTAGATATAAAAGATTGCATATTTTATGATTCCATTTACATTTTAATGTCTAGGGAAATCTGTAGAGACAGAAAGCAGTTTAGTGGTTGCCAAAGACTAGGAGGAAAGTAGAATGGTGTGTGGATTTCCCATTAAAGTGAGGATTTCCTTTTGGGATGATAAAAATGTATTGGAATTAGATGGAGGTGATGATTTACAACAGTCATGAAAGTACTAAGTGCCATTTAACTGTGCCCTTTAAGATGGCTAATTTTATGTTGCATGAATTTTACCTTAATAAAAATGTTTTCCAACCTAAAAAAAAATCATTAAAAAAGGTGGCTGCCATGTCTTGCTAGGGAGAACACATCATGGAGGGGGTAGAGGCTTGATCACTGCACTGTACACCTGAAGCTGATGTTGTATAATACTGTATGTCAACTATAATTGAAAAAAAATATATATATATATATGGTCATGGGACGTGGAGTATAGTGTGGGAGTGGAGTCAAGGGATTTTTAATAGATATGTATGATATTGGGGGGGAAGTGGGGTGGCGGATTGGGGGGGGGGGGGTTGTCACCTCAAGGTGTAAAAAGTATAACTATTGCACTGTGTTGTACAGCTGAAACTAATTCTAAAAAATGCGTATTTCACAAAAAAATTTTTTTAAAAAGTGGCTGCAACAACAAAATAGTAATTGTGTGAGGTAAAGGATGTGTTAACTGATCTTAGTGTGGTAATCATTTCACAATATATATGCGTATCAAATTTTATTGTACACCTAAAACAGAATATTGTATGCCAATTATATCTCAATAAAGCTGGAAAACAAAAAATATATGGCTGAATGGCTTGGGAGAATGAATTTGGGAGATGGAATCAGGGAGTCTTGGCAGTAGTTTGGACAAGAGTTAATGGTGGCTGGAGCTAAGGAGGTCATAATAATAGATGTGAAGAGAAGTGGACAGATTCCAGATATGTTGTGGAATTGACAGGACCTGTTGGATTGAACTAGGATGTGAAGGAAAGAGAAGAATTAAGAATGACTCCTAGGGCCAGTCGAGTGGCGCGTTGGTTAAGAATTGGCTTGGGACGCCAGAGGGCCCCAGTTCGGATCCCACATATGAGGGCCAGTGACACTGCCCTCTACAGCTAAGATGCTGAACAACAGCTCAACCTGGAGCTGGGTTGCTGTGAGTCGCCGGTGATGGTGTGGTCTGCGGCCCCTGCTGCAGTGGGTTGCCATGGGCTACCGTGTGTGGCCAGCAGCCAGTGTGAGCAGCTCTCAAGCCACCGTGAGCAGCCATCCAGTAGCCGGCGACTGATCTGCCTCACCCAGGAAGAGCGCAATGATGGTGCCAACTTGGACCAGTAAAGCAACATCCTCCACAACTAGACTGAAGAACAAAAGGACAGCAACTTGTCTATTCCCCTTCCTCCAATTCCCCAGCACTGTTCCCATCCCCTAACTCCCCAATAAAAATCTTTTTAAAAAAATTATTGCTGATAATCTCTTATTAAAAAAAAAGAATGACTCCTAGATATTTTGCCTTGAGAAACTGAGGGGATGGATGGTGTTCTGTTACCTTTGATAGTGACCCTAAGTCCTAGGATACAGGGCCTTCCTCTAGGGCTGATCTATAACCAACCTTGGCATTCCTGAGTGAGGGACAGAATCAGTAAAAGCTCCACACCTTAACCCTAACCAGTTCCCGATGAAAGGTATATATAGATATTTTTAAAGATTTTATTGGGGAATTGGGGGAGGGGAAAAGACAAGTTGCTGTCCTTTTGTTGTTCAGTCTAGTCGTGGAGGACATCACTTCACTGGCCCATGTTGGTATTATCATTGCAATCTTCCCGGGTGAGGCAGTCACTTGCTGGCCATTGGACAGCTGCTCACAGCGACTCATGGCAGCTCATGCTGGCTGCCGGCTGCTGGCTGCTGGCCACTCACGCTGGCTGCCGGCCACTCACGGTAGCTCATGGCAGCCCGCTGCAGCAGGAGCTGCAGCCTACACCGTTACTGGCGACTCATGGTAGCCCAGCTCCAGGTTGAGCTGTTGTTCACCATCTTAGCTGTAGAGGGCGCAGCATCACTGGCCCTCATGTGGGATCCGAACCAGGGTCCTGCTGCTCAGAGCTGGCATTCCAAGCCAACTCTTAACCAATGTGCCACTCAGCTGACCCTATAAAGTATATTTTAAATGACTCAGAATTGTTGCTAACTCTCATTTAGCATGCCCATGCACATTGTCAACTCTCTGGTTATGATGCTAGCCCTGCCCGTGGTGTAGCTCTGCCCCAGACACTCGTATCTGTGCTTGGCAGGGTCATCAGGCTCCGCTTCAAACACCTGTCCCCTCCTCTCCCTGGAGGCTGAGCAGGCTCTCTTCAAACCCCCACCTCTTCTTAGGCCTGATCTGTTCTGTCTAGATTGTGACAGCGGCAGACTCTCCTGCTAGGCTTCTTTCTCCCGACACTTGTTCCCAAAGGCCTTTTGTGTGTCCCCCAAGACTTTCCTGCCTAAGGCTTCACCCGGAAATCTGCCCCCACCCCCACCTTACCTTAGGACTTGGTACGCCCAGGCAGCTACCGTGACCTTATGTGAGCCTCACCTGGTCTCTCTTCAACCACAGGGGACCCCCTCCCCACAAAGGGCCAGCTCATGAACAGCTGTATCCAGGCCAGGAAGAAGTGCCAGGCCGACTACTCTTGCAATGCCACCTACCGATACCTGAAGTCCTGCTCCTCCAATATAAGCACCTCATCACCTGCAGAGGAGCCTTCAGTTTCTGAGGACTGCTTGGAGGCAGTACAACACCTCCAGAATACCTCTCTGATGAGCTGCACATGCCACCGGCGCATGAAGAACCAAACTGCCTGCCTGGACATCTACTGGACCGTTCACCCTGCCCGCACCCTTGGTGAGACCCCCGTCCTAGAGTGGACTAAGTGAGGGAAGATGACACTTGGGTGTTGTTTTTTAATCCTGCAGCATATGAGCCACATGGTAGATTCTGACAGATGATAATGAAGCTCTCTTTATGTGACATCAGTAAGAGGTGGAGAGAGGAATTGGCAGTATCTTTTGGGGGCCCCTAACATTGTCCTCTCTTCGCCCTTCTTCCCCCTTTCTTACCTGACAGCAAGTAGCTGCCTCTTGGTAGAGCTCCGAACCAGGCTGAGGCCCAACCCGGGAAGCTCCTGGAATAGAAGGGTATGGAGAGGAGGTGGAGGAAAATGGAGCCATAAACAGATTCCAAATACAATGCAATCCATAAGCTCAGAGAGGCTGGGAGGCAGTGTTTTGGTCCAGCTTTTTTTTTTTAAGCTGAGACATCCTGCCACCTGTTGGCAGCTCAGCGGCTGCTCAGCTCGGGCCAGGAATCGAACCACTGTTGCTCAGAGCTCAAACTCTTGAGCGAGCTCTTAACCAACTGAGCCACTTGGCCGGCCCACTGGTCCAGCTTTTAACAGAAAGGATACTTATTAGCCAGGCAGCAGATGGTAGAAGAGGGCACTGGAAGAGCCAAAGAGAAGAGCTTCCTCTGACTCTTTCCATAGACCCCTCTGTATTAGCTTGTACTGGACTATGCTGTAGTAACAGAGGTTTACTTGTAAAAGAAGTGACTTGCAAAACAAAGGTTTAGTTTTTGCTCATATCCTGTGTTGGCTGTTACATGCACTCCCTTCATTCTAGGATCCAGGCTGAAGGTGCAGCCTCTATCTGGGATGTTCCCTTCTCATGGCTGAGGGAAGTGAGCAATGGCAAAACCATGTTATGGCTTTAAAAGCTTCTGCTCAGATGTTACACAAAATACTCTGCTCACGTCCCATTGACAAAACAAATCACATAGCACACAAGCCTGACATCACAGGGGAGGGGAGGTTTACTCCTCCCACAGGGAGACATTGAAAATTACATGGCAGTAAGTGAGGATATATAACCTTATCAGGAGGGCAAAAATGAGTGGAAACAGTAATACAATCTCCATAGTCTACCACTTGGTCAAAATATTCATTTTCCTTATTTCCACAAGCAAATTACATGTACCCACTTTCCAAGGAACATGCCTAAGAGTTCAATTCAAACATGACATCAGGCTCCAAGTCTAGGATCTTGTGATAATTTCCATATCAGGTTTGGATATGGCTCCTCTTGATCCAGAAATGTATGGACTAATCTGCCTCCCATACATACTCAATATGCAATAATGGAACAGGGAAAGGAGAACCACAAAAAACACCCTCAGTTAGAAAGGGGAGGGATGGGAGGCATACAACAGAAATTGATTCATAGCAACTCTCAAGTCCCACACAAATGTTACCAGGGCCATCTCCCCTGGGACCAGGGCCTGTTCTTTAATAAGACCCTGTTTTTGCCCTATGGGAGAGTTTCTCTATCCATTGTCCCACAGGGCTCTTGGCCCAGCTTTCTGGGAGGTCCTTCCTTTCCATTACAGTTAAGTTCTCACTTAACGTCATCAATAGGTTCTTGGAAACTGACTTTAAGCTAAATGACATATCACAAAACCAATTTTACCATAGACTAATGAATATAAACAAGAGTTAAGTTCCTATAGTATATTTCTGGTCTCAAAAACGTCGCCAAACTTCTAAATAAAGACCCAAACACTTCTAATATTAAACATTGAAATACATGTGAGCTATACATACATTTAAGAAAGATTGATAAGGAGCGGCCAGTTGGCTCAGGTGGTTAGAGCTCAGTGCTCATAACACCAAGGTTTCCGGTTCGATCCCCACATGGGGCATGGAGCTGCACCCTCCACAACTAGATTGAAACAACTACTTGACCTGGAGCTGATGGGTCCTGGAAAAACACACTGTTCCCCAATTAAAAAAAAAATCCTTTAAAAAAATTGTTAAAAACAAGTAAGATAATTATGTTCCAGCCCCCTATTCCAGTCCAGAGTTGCAGGTGGCCAGAGCCTATCCCAGCAGCTCAGGGTACAAGGCGGGGAACAGCTCTGGACAGGATGCCCTTCCCTCGCAGGACACACACACACACACACACACGCACACACACACACACACACACACACTCAGGCTGGGACAACTTAGACACCCCAGTTCACCTCACGTGCACATCTTTGGGATGTGGGAGGAACCCGGAGTACCCGGAGAAAACCCATGCAGACATGGGGGATGTGCAAGCTCCACACAGACAGTGGCCCCAGGCTGGGAATCGATTTTTTTCCCTCAATGTTATAATGAAATGACATTGAACAAAATGACGTTATTCAAGGACCTGCTGTATTTCCCTTGACCACATCTGAAAAGGGCATTGGAGACTCTGACCTGCTTAGGGACTGAACAGCATTCTCAGCTTGCTTCCTACCTGAGGAATGTTGGGGCATTTTAAGTCTCAAATAGTCACAATCTCTTTTAATCCAAACTGATGGCTCTTAGCAGTCAACTCTCTCAAAACATAATCGCTTGTTATACTTTGATTTCTGTCACCTCCTATGCGAGTAGTTGCCTTTCCTATAATTCTTTTCAAGACATGCATCTCTTTCTAGACTGAATTACCCTGCCCTTATCAGGCTTCCGTGGGAGAGCCACAATTTCCCTGAGCACATTTGTCCAACTGGCAGGATTTATTGGATACCATCTTAATCAATGAGAGATCTCCACAAAGGGCTTGATAGCCACAAACTTGATTTGGTCTTTGCTCCAAGGCTGAGTTGTAATAGACATTATTACTCAAAGCATCTTTCATTGTTATGTTTTACCCTTTGACGATGAGAAGCAGCTGCATCTCTTAATCCTGCAAGCCCTGGAGTTTTCGGATTCTCCCTTTTCTGTTTCCTTGCTATTTGCAAACTGGCCAGTTCTTCTGTGACCTTCTATCTTCCTTGGAGCACCTTGCCAAATGCAGCCAATAGCAATCAAGACATGCTAGTAACCTTCTGCTTCTCAGCTTCTTCCGCGCAAGGCACGAGCTCATTCAGTGCATCATCTTTCTTCCAAGTTCACTACCCACTGCTCTGTCCCAAAGCCAATGCCACATATTTTACTTTTTTTGTTTTGGTTTGTTACTGCAGCACTTCAACCCTCAAATCTCTCGCTTTCAACAGCAAAAATGTATTTCTTGCTGAGGTTACACATCTGCTGCAGGCTTCTGTAAATTGGCTTTGTTCTTGCTCTCCCCATCTTTATCTGGGGATCCAGGATGGTAGAGGGAGGAGAGCAACAGCAGAACCATGTGATGGTCTTTACAGCTTCTGCTCAAGATGTGATTTACGTCACTTCTGCTCACCATCCATTGGCCAAAGCAAGTCACATGGCCAAGCCTTCCAGTGGAATGGGGAAGTAGACTCCTCTCATAGAGGGCCTGAAAGTCACATGGCAACAGGTGGGGATGTATAATCTTCCCACAGGCTGGGTAGCAAATAATTAGTAACAGTAATACAATTTACCACACTCCTTGTTCCCTGCTTTACACTCCTCATCCTAATCGCTTCTGTTTCAGAACTTGCCCTGAGACTTCTTCTTGGATCCTCTTACCTCCCCCTTTCCCCTTAGGAGTATCAGATCTCCTCAAGTATCCAAACCATCCTCTCCTATTTGCCTGACATCATCCATTCCTTCCCTCGTAAAGGCTTATTGCAGCGGTTCTCAACCTTCCTAATGCCGCGACCCCTTAATACAGTTCCTCATGTTGTGGTGACCCCCAACCATAAAATTATTTTCGTTGCTACTCTATAACTGTAATTTTGCTACTGTTATGAATCGTCATGTAAATATCTTTTTGTTTTCCGATGGTCTTAGGCGACCCCTGTGAAAGGGTCGTTCGACCCCCAAAGGGGTCATGACCCATAGGTTGAGAACCGCTGGCTTATTGGGTGACAGACCTGCAAGCTCACTTCTCTCTCTTCCAAAAAGATTTAGTAACCAACATCTAGTGGGTGCCTACCATGTATAGGAGCTAATCGATGATTTTATAAGACCTAGTAAGCCCCCTTAAGGAGCCCACAGCCCCATAAGGGTGACTGAGAGAGATGTGTTTCCTTGGAGATCACTGTCTCTTCCTTCTCAGTCAGGTTCATTTGGGACCTGGCTTCCCTTCCATCTCCTCAGCATGCAATGCGTCTGCATAGCCAAATGGTCAGGCCTGGAACAGAGTATACCACTGCTCCTTCTCCAGGAGGAACAGAAAGCACCCCTACACAGCTTGCAGCTAGCAGTTAGGTAGACTGTGCCTTTCCCATCTTTCTACAGGGCTTTGAGGTCTGACTCAGCAGCCTCAGCCCCTCCTGCCCATGCCCCCAGCCCTGTCCTCAGGTACTCTTCACTTTGTCTCTAGATGACTATGAGCTGAATATCTCCCCCTACGAAGATACAGTGACCAGAAAACTCTGGAAAATGAATCCCAGGAAACTGAAGCAGCTCAAACCAGGTGTGGAGGGCAAATGGAGGCTGGGGCATGGGGACTGGGCCTGGACCCTCAGGGAAGGGTGGCTGGTGGGGAACACAAGCTGGGGGCCCTGTGTGGGGGCAGAATCCTCCCCCTTCCAGGTAACTAAAGCAGCATTGTGTAGGGTGGGAGTCTAAGCTGTGGGGCATGGTCTGGTCTCACAAGAGTAATCAAAAAGCAATAGTGATTAGGGAGGCATTCGAAGAGAGCCCATTAGGGCTCTCAAAAGGTGGGGCTGGGCAAAGGGTTTGGTGGGAGTGGCAGCTGTCCTAGAAAAAAATGTGCTGAAATGGAGTATTTACCCTCATTCAAGGCAGCCATGAAAGTAGTTTTTTGTCCCCGAAGACTAGAAAATTGCTTGTTTTCAACCATTCTAATGGGATGGGCGAGGTGTTGGGCAGGAAAAATGGTTAGAGATGGAGTGACTCCTCAGGGGTGACTCAGGGTGGGGAGCCATCTGTCTGGCAAGGACTATGATGCATGTTTTTCAGGAAAGTGAAGCTGTTGTGTTAATTGGAAAGGATTGTGCACATATACACTCTCTTACTGAGAAAGATGTGAATTTTGTTACACAGTCCTATGTACTAGAATTTTGGGATAAAAGCAGATTTATACATAACAAAACTCTTAGTTACAAGAATCCAGGAATTACCTGTTCCAGTTACTCCATCGTTCTGACTGCTGGAATATTCTGTTAATAGAAATATCACCCCAATTTCCCAAGATTCGAGAATGTGGGAAACTTTCATTCGTGCATCAATCAGTAAAAGACAGGCAGGTGATATTAATACTGCGCAGAATAGACAGGTATAAAACAAAACAAAAATCCTAAATAGAATTTGGTTGCATCTGGTTTGGACAGTTCAGAAAGTGCTTTAGATTGTAGTAGGGCCTCTAGGTTATGATTTCTGTGAGATCTCACTCAATTTGTAGGATTGAGGAAAGGGTTTTGGTTATTTGAGCTTTCTGGCTGCTTGAATTCTAGACAAATGAGCATTAGATAATACATGGCTTTGTTTTTTTAACCTAATCAAGCTGAGGAGCAGGATATGGGGAGGATACCAGATATAGTTTGTGGATTAGGAGTGGCTTACTCTGGGCAGAGCTCCCTTCCCCCCCCCCCCCCACCTCCCCCTCGCCACCACTACCATGCTTGTTAAAGCAGAGGGTGGGGAGAGGCTTCCTAGGGAAGCTAGGCTTGCATAGAGGACCAGTGACTTGGTGCCACTCTCCCCACAGAGTGGGACCTCTGCCTCAAGTTCGCCATGCTGTGCGCTCTTAATGGCAAATGTGGCCGACTTCGCAAGGCCTACGGGGAGGCCTGCTCGAGACCCCGCTGCCAGCGCCACACCTGCCGCCGGCAGCTCCGCACCTTCTTCGAGAAGGCATCGGAGCCCCACGCGCAGGGCATGCTGCTGTGCCCGTGCGCGCCGGCTGACCTGGGCTGCGGGCAGCGCCGGCGCAACACCATCGCCCCCAGCTGTGCGCTGCCGGCTGAGACCCCCAACTGCCTGGAGCTGCGGCGCCTCTGCCTCTCCGACATCCTGTGCAGGTGCGGAGAAGTGGGTGCAGGTGGGCGGGGTGCGCCCCACCCCTAACAGGCTGCCATTCCAGTGCGGGGCTGGGTCTGACCCGCCAGGGACCATGGGTTGACTTCACCATGCGGCTACCTTTGATATTTCTGAAACTCCTTTCTCAAAAAAGAATATATAGTTTTTTCTTTGTGAAGAAACTTCATAAAATAGAAAAAATGTATAAAAATATCACTCAAAATCGTCACTTGAAAATAATCCATCTACCATACTTTTGGGAGCATTTTCTTCCAGTCTTTTTTGTATACAGATAAACAAATTTGACATTCTGGGAATGTATTTCTATTTTATATCGTATCTTTTTTTCATGTATGGTGCATATTTCGTGAGCATTTTCCCGTGGAGGCAGTATGGGATAGTGCTGAAGAGAGGCTCTGAAGTCAGACAGATGTGAATTTAAATCCTGGGTCTGTGTGACCTTGAACCTGTCACTTAACCTAAAATTCTTTCACTTAACCTCAAGTCCCACTTAGTCCTGTGTGGAAACTGGGATAATAATACAGAGCTCATAGGATTTGGGCAAGAGTTAAATTATATCATTTGTGTAGAGTGCTTAACTTACTGGTGCAGAGCAAGTGCTCAATAAATGGTGGTGCTTATTTTGTCACTTACTGTCCTTTGCCAACTTGATTTTTAAGAGCCTGCCTCGTATTCCATTTTATGAATGCACCATACTTTATTTAATCATTCCTCTATTGTTAGATATTTAGGTTGCTTTCTTAATTGCTATAAATAAGGCTGCGGTAAGTATCACTCTTGTTCATTAATCTTTGTGCACAAATCTAATTATTACTTAGGATTTGTTGCTACAAGTGCCATTACCAAATCAAAGGGCATGAGGATTTGTAAGGTGTTTGATACATATTCTGCAACCAAATTCTGATCTGGCTTTTTTTTTTTTGTCTTCTCTGGACAAAACACTCACCAAATTGAAGTTATCCAGTCAAGTGACATTTGTTGACACCAGGAATCACACCAACCTTGTTTTGTCACCTGATTTTACCACTCACTTCTCTGTAACCTTGGGCAGGTTACTTAACCTCTGAGTCCCACTTTCCCTTTCTGTGAAATATTACATCGTCAGAGCTCTCAACAATCATAATACTAACATTTACTGAGTACTTACTATGGGCCAGGTACTGTTTTAAGTATACCATGTGTTAACTCATCAAAACCTCACAAGAACCCTGCACGATAGATGCTGTTTTTTTGTTTTTTTTTTTAAGATTTTTATTGGGGAATTGGGGGAAGGGGAACAGACAAGTTGCTATCCTTTTTTGTTCTTCAGTCTAGTTGTGGAGGACGTTGCTTCACTGGCCCAAGTTGGAACCATCATTGCGCTCTTCCCGGGCTAGGCAGATCAGTCGCTGGCTTCTGCACGGCCGCTCACTGCGGCTGCTGGCCGCTCACACTGGCTGCTGGCTACACACGGTAGCCCATGGCAACCCACCTGCCATCGCCTGCGACTCATGGCAGCCCAGCTCCAGGTTGAGCTGTTGTTCAGCATCTTAGCTGTGGAGGGCAGTGTCACTGGCCCTCATATGTGGGATCCCAACCGGAGCCCTCTGGCATTCCAAGTCAGCTGTTAACCAACGTGCCACTCGGCCGGCCCTAGATGCCATTTTAATTTTTTTATCATCCTCAGTTTACAAATAAAGAAACCACAGCAGAGAAAGGTTAAATAACTTGCTCAAGTTCACCCAGGTGGTAAGTCAGGTTTGTTAATGAGGTTTGGGCAGAAGGAAGTCTGGCCCTGAGTCTGTGCTCCTAACCTCTCTGCCATATCGCCTATTGTTGTGCTGGTAGCTATTGCTATTACTATTACTATTATGTAACAAGTGCTGGACTAGTTGGTTAAGATATTGCTCTTTTCTTTGAGGAGTTTGCATTTGAGTGGGGGAGCAGAGGAGTAAACCACCAATCTAACAAAGCAAAATGGAAGGAAAACTGTAGAAATTTATGTAGAAAAAGATACTCATAATTCCATTATCCAACGATAACCAGCTTTCCCTATTGTGGAGTGAATGTTAATATTAATAATATCTCACATTTATGAATTAAACACTTACCTTATTTTCCCATGTATAAGACACACCCTTTTTTGAAAAATTTGGGGTCTAAAAATTGGGTGCGTCTTATACAGTGGTTGTATGAGCACAAAAACAAGCACGAAAAAAGCAGGAAATGCAAGTAAAAAAACTACAACCACTGTATAAGACGCACCCAGTTTTTAGACCCCAAATTTTTCGAAAAAGGGTGCATCTTATACATGGGGAAATACGGTAAGTACCAGGCACTATGCTAAATGCTATGCACACATTCTCTTATTTCATTCTCACAAAAATCCACAATCTCTATTTATAGTCGAGGAAACCGAGGTTAAAGGAGCTCCATAATCCCTAAGATTCAGAGTGATATGTCCTGGGGACTGGGGTGGAAGTGCATTTAATTATGACGAGAGTAGGCTTCACTGTGGAGGAAGCCCTGGGCCAGGTTCTAAAGGCAGAGGAGGATTTGGCATGAAGATAAGGCATGCCAACTAAAGGGGCACCAAGGTGAAGTAGGCAAGCCAGACCCTCAATAGGGACTCTTGAAATTTTCCTTCTTCCAGATCTCGCCTGGCAGATTTTCAGACCTACTGCCGTCCCATGAACAGCCAAGGGACCTGTGCTACAGAGAAGTCCAGATGTCTGCAAGCATACATGGGGCTGATTGGTGAGGCCAGGGTGTTTGTGTAGGGAGCCCACAGGCTGTTCAGCCCTGAATATGAGAATGCTCTGGCTACTGAACCCATACGGAGTGCTCCTGAGACAGGTGGGAGAGGGTGGGAGCTGAGGTTGGGGTTGGCCTAGGCCCTGACAGTCCCCTCTTCACCCCACAGGCACTGCTATGACCCCCAACTTTGTCAGCAATGTCAATACCAGTGTTGCCTTAAGCTGCACCTGCAGAGGCAGTGGCAACCTGCAGGAGGAGTGTGAGCGGCTGGAAGAGTCTTTCTCCCACAACCTCTGCCTCAGTGAGTGTACTCCACCTGCTCCCTCCCCCGTGGCCAGGTCAGCTGCATCCAGGGAGAGGAAAAGGGTCAACCTGATGGTCCACATTGGCTCCATCTATCTCCTGTGGACAGAGCAGCCTCCTCCTCAGCGTAGGCTTACATCACCTCAGCCTGGGCTTTTCTTTCTTCTTCTGCTCTCTGAGTGACCCCCAAGCTGCCTTTCAACCTGTCTGGGCCCCAGGGACACTCTTCAGCTCAAGGAATAAGCAAGCAGAATAAGACAATATCCCATTCCCACCTGCCACCCACCTGTCCTATGTCCTAAGGTCCCTGAGACATTCCCTTTCCTTCCTTGAGAGCCTGAGATCTCTCCAACATCTGCCTGCCTCCAGCCTATCTTCTCTTTTCTCCTCAGCGGAGGCCATTGAAGCTACGATGCATTTGCATAGCCAACGCCTCTCCCAGGCCTCACCAGTGATGGAACACCAGGTAAAACCTCCTGTATTACACTCCTCATACCTTTACCAAACCGTCTGTGGGGAACCCAGAAAAGGCAGATAAGGGGATGGAGGATGGTGACCTTGTCTCGTGAATACTACAGACCTCTAATGGACGCCTTGATCAAGGCTAAGGGGGTGAAAGCGATGGAGCTGACTCCATTGCATTTCTTCCACAGAAAACAAGCCCTGCTGTGAGGCCACAGCCCTGGGTACCCTCTCTTTTCTCCTGCACATTTATCTTGATTCTGCTCCCAAGTTTCTGGTAGCTGGACTTCCCTGGAGGCCGTCTCCCCCTCTGCCACACCCAGGCCTGACCTGCCACCTGTAAGAGGTGAAGAAAGAACAGCATCAGGAAGGAGGTGCAGTACACAACGTGACAACCCCAGACCCCCCACCCCCGCACGTCCAGTCTTCTCCAGATGAGACCACAACAGGAGCTGACTGGCTGAGTTCTCATTCCCTCCACTCCTGACTCAGGCTGTCCCTCCTTAGGAATTGCTCACCATGGTTTAGCCATGCCTTCTGGTGGTGACCACCTCTACGAAGCTGTCTCTTGAACCCTTCCTCCTGCCCAGCAGGATTAGCAGGCTCTAAGAAATCAGTCATTCTCTATTGCAGTCTCCAGCTTGGCAGGGCTGGGTGTTCTGAGGCAGCCTAGAGGGACATTCCCCATTGTTAGGAAGGCTGGAGCAAGACTCCTGCCCCCCTGTCTCCTCTGAACAGGGCATGGGAACCCGCTGCCTGCCCTGCCCTGCCCTGGGATCCTACAGAGCATGTGAACATCAGGAGTCAGAGCATTTGGGCCTTGCTTTCTTCCTGCCACTGTCCCAAAGTCCCCCCAGCCTCTTGGATCATGATTAAACATTTTGACTTAAAACTTTGCCATTTTCTCACATTGTGAATTTATACAGAACTAGAGATTTTACAGAAAGAAGAGCTCAGGCCAGGGGACCAGGAGACACAGCAACTCTGCCACCTACTGCTGTGTGACTTCAGGCATGTTTCTCAGCCTTTCTGTGTACTGGACATGGAGTTGGAATTCAAAATAGCTTATGTGAGGCTGTGGACCTGGTATCTGTCCCAGCTCCAGCCATTTTTGGGAACTGCCTGGGATCTGCCCTAGCAACTGAGAGAGAAGGGTCCTTAGTCAACCACAGCATTTATTGAGCACCTGCTTGTGTTATTGGTCTATTCCACATTATAAGGGAGGCCAGAGGAAAGGGGAGACTGCTCCTTGATCTTGCTGGGATGAGGAAACAGCCACCCATGCAAAGTAGTTGGAAGAATATATTTACAGAGCTGTGGACATTTGTCTGTTAACTCATTCACTCACTCTTTCCATAAGCCCCTGATGAGTGCTGGCTCTGCGAGGCGCTGTGCTAAGTGCAGGAGATTCCCAGGTGATAATACTCAGATCCTGTTTTCAAGCCTTTCACACACCAGAGCAGGGGAATATATGAGACAGTCAATTAAAAAAGTGCAGTGTGGTATGTGCTGTACAATAATCATCATGACAACACTCAGTTATTGAGCCCCTACTGTGTGCTAGGTACTACTTTGCCCCTACTGTGTACAAGTACATGTATTAATTCTTTTAATCCTCCAACAACACTTGATTTTGTCAGTCACTAGCTATGGTGACCTTGGGCTTAACCTCTCTGGACCATATGTTCCACATCTGTAACACGGAAAAAGCATAGAACCCACCTCACACGCAATGACGTAATCCATGTAAAAGCATTGTGACTGACACATAGTAAGAACTCAGAAAAGTTAGCAATTATAGTATAAGGTTTTTGTAGACAATTTGGATGATAAAAATAATTCTCAAAAAGAAAGTAAACATCTTTAAAATCTCACTCTCCAATTTCCAAATGTGCTACCTGCACATATGAGAATCTATGGGTATGTATAATTTTTACAGTAATGGAGGTAGACACCGCATAGCAAAGTGTAAGTCACGGACATCTTTCAGTGTACACGAGTAGAGGTTGAGCTACATCATCCTTTTTATCAGCTGCGTAAGATGGACTCGTATGAATGTATATTTCTACATACATAGTTTATTTAACCAGTTCTGCATTGATGGATATTTGGTTGTCTTCCCATTTTTCGCCAAGGCAAGTTTTAAGGCAATGACGACGTGACCAGGGGTAAGATGTGTGGAGGAGCTGCCACAGTGGCGGGTGCAATAGGGGAGCCTCTCCCTATACATTCTTGTATCCCCCATAGCCCACCCTGTCCTGGGAAATGCTCAGACAACCTCTCCCTGCAAACTCCAGTGGAGCTCTAGCTGGACCTTCCCTTCCTTCCCCTCCCAGGAAGATCTCTGAGCCATGGAGTCCTCTCCATTTGCTTTGGTTCCATTAGCCTAGGGCTGAGGGTGTGAATGGTACAGTCATTCCTTGCTAAGTGCTTGAATTAGACTAATAGGTTATCTGTGCTTTTCTCTGAAGAAGGTCCAAATTTCCTGGTAAACAACCAGACCACTCTCCCAGCCTGGGGCCCAGAGCCAAGACCCGGGGTGGGGGCTCAGTGGCAGGACTGAAACTTTTAATGGTATCCTGGCTGGCTGGGATGGTTAATGCCATTAGACTAGCTTCTGGGTAACGAGGTGAGAAGGGCTGCTGGCAGCACTGGTAAGTGGAGAGTGCTGAATTATAGGCCTCTGCGTGGTGGGAGTGCAGCAGTCTTTTAAACAACTATCTTCAAATTCACCCATGCATTCAATCAGTGACCCTTTAACAAGCACTTGCTCTGTGCCAAGCTGTGAATATTTTTCAAGGTCTGTTCTTGCCCACCATTTCAGTGAAAGGGTAGCCCAGCACTCTGGCAACTGGGCCCAAATTTGGGCAGCTGGGACTCTTCAGTTATACTGGTTGATTATAACACTCAGCTGTTTGACCTCGGGAAATATTCTTTACCTCTCTGAGCTACCATTGCCTCATCTGCAGTGGGGATGCCAATAGGAATACCTAACTTAAAGGGTTACAGTTTTTGTTTGCTTTGTTTTTTAATAAATACAACATCAGCTTATTTAATTTAACTTAAAAAACTAATTGGCAATATCCACTAATGTTTATATCAATTTTACTGGTTTTGATTGGCAATCTTTTGGCTTCCTAGTTCTAAAAAAGCTTATAAGCATGAAGAATTTATGCTTGTTTTGAGCTCCTTGTATATTTAAGTTAGATAATAGTAAAAGTATTTTAAACCAATCAGAATTGTTTTTGAGGACTGGAAATGATTATAACACATATAGTGCCTGATACAGGACAAAGACTCAATAAATGGTAGCTATTATTATTATTACTTCTGGGAGGCGAGCTGTGGGTACAATGTATTCTGCTCCCTGCCCAGAAACAGTGGTGAGTGATTGCTGGCTCTCCCTCCAACTGTGGGGTGAATTCTAGGTGGGGCTGCCCCTGGGAGACTCACTATTCAAGATCTGAACTCCAGGATAGAAGCCAGGGACCTTGGACAAGTCAGGGAGTCAAAGGTCTTTGGCTGTAAGTAACAGAAACATTGAAATTACTTAATAAAAGGGGAATGTCATGCAACCCAATCCAGGAAATTCAGCCAGATCTTGGGGGAGCTGGAATTGGTGAGTCATGAACCAATCTTGAGCCCCATCTGTTGAAGGCCTAAACACCATGGACCATCTACTTCATTCTCTCTGCAGACCTACTTCCTCTGGATGACCTTCCAGGTAAAGGAACTCTCATCCCAATTCCAAATTCACGGAAAACCTGATTGTCTATGCACAGGTTCTAGATTGGCTTTTCTCGATTGAGGATCCATCCCAGGCCTATCAGCTGGATAAAGGAAACAGAACCACGTGCTACTAACATAATTACAGGACCCCAGGCCTATTAGTGGAGGGCAGTTCTCAGAGAAGGCAACGTGGCTCACCAAGACCCCCAAAGACATAGTCTCTTGTCAGGGGTGGATCTTAATTGCCTGAGGTCCAGCTTTGCTTCTTTTGTGGCTTCCTGCCTGGCCTTCGACTGTCCTCTGAGCTTTCTTCCTGAAGGGATGGAAATGTAGGAACGTGGGCCAAGTGCTGTGGCTCCTTTGATTCTGAGAACCACCTTGCGAGCTAGATCGGAAGTAGAGGTTCTTTATGGCTGCAAATGGAGGCTTTGCGTCTGTGGCACTTGCTAGATTTCTGGTGCTTGCATTGAAGAGTAAGGCAAAGTGAAGAGGATCAGAATATGCAACCCCAAATTATGCCACATTGGCATAAAGATGTTTTTGATTTGAACGCTACTGGGAATCAACAGGAACGGGAAGGGTTCTCTGCCCTCCCCTTATCTGCCGGAAAGCAGGGCATAACTGAAGATAGGAAGTCAACTCCAAGATGAATCTGCATAAACAGACATCACTTAAATAGCCCTTACCTTCCATTAGTTTCCCCCATATATTTCCTAGGCACTTCCCCACGATTTATTGTCCCTTAGAGTCCACACCCTCTTTCCTTTGTTAAAAGGATACATAGGCTCCGAGTCTAACCCTGAGTCTTATTTGAGTTTTACGTCTTTTCTGCAGGTAAATATTAATAGAAACTGTGCCTTTTATCCCATTAATCTGTCTTTTGTTAGCTAAATTCATAGGCTCCCAGTTCTAAGAGGCTAGAGGAAAAAGTTTTTCCTCCCTGACAAAAGCTTTGCTATATCCTTTTCTGATATCCCTCCATCTTTGTCGCTATACATACTCCATCTGACTAACAGTCATAGGCTCTCACCCTCAATCCTTTCTTGGGATCACTGGTTCTCAGAAATTCCAGTCTCTTTGCAGCATCTCTGCTTCTCTCAGGAGGAAGCCTATTCATATCTGGAACCTGGAAAACTTGTTACAATAAAATTCCACCTTCAGATATGAGCTGCTCATGGCCTTATCTGACACAATGTGGGTGGGTGTGAGGGTGGAAGAGAGACAGAGACAATAATTGCTAACATTTATTAAGAGCTTAATGTGTGCAAAGCACCATGCTAATAGCTTAATGAGCATCATCTCATTTACTTTTCAGAACCATCCTATTTTATTTTCTCCATTTTACAAGGAGACTTAGAGAGGCCAAGCCACTTGTCCAAGGTTACAGGTCTAACAAGTTGCTGATCCAGAAATCAAACCTCAATCTTCCTGATTCCTAGGCACATTCTTTGACCCACATCATATTTATCCAGTGTTGGGGTGAGACTCCAGTTCCTAAATTATAGTAGAGGCCACGATGAGGGGTATGGGGTCAGAGGGAGCTCTTTTAGGCTGCAGAGATGGTTTCCAGGAAGAAAAGGTATTTGGGCTGAGCCTGGAAGAATGAGTAGGGTTTATTAGGCAGAAAAGGGGGAGGGCACCGTAGAGATCAGAGTGAGCAAAGGCAAAGACTGAATAAGGCAGGGAGTGTTGGGCTGGGCGGAGAGGAGGACAACAAGTGGTCTGCTGTGAGTGGAGCTCTGTGAGGGAAGATGCTCCCCAGTCTTCCTGTCACCCATCTCCCCATCCCACAGTCCTGGGGGAGGGGTCTCCTCTGCAGACCCAGCTGCAGTGCTGCTGCTGTGAAAGCCAGCCCTTTGGAGCAGGCAGGGTCCTGGGGAACTGGTATGCAGGATTCTGGCCTGGCATGCTTGGCATCCCTGGCCATGGAGAGTTCCATGGCCCCTTGACCCCTTGGTGACATTCTAGAGCATAGAGATTAGTGTATGTAGGTGAGAGGATGAAGTGAGCCTGTATCTGGGCTGGGAACAGTAACAAGCAGGAAGAGAGATCCCATCCCCTACAGAGGGATACCAGCAAATAGTCCCTCTTGGGTGCTGACGCACACACACACACACACACACACACACACACACACACACACACACACACACACCTGTATCTGGG